ATTTTTGAAACTTCTCCAGAATGGTAATATGTTTGAATAACTGGAAGAGGATGGAGTAGTTTCAACTGAACCAAGGAAAATGTTCTTCTTGTACCACTACCAGAAAAGGCAAGAACTGAACAACCTTGAGTTCCAAAGGAACAACTTTGCTTCTTAAAGGCTACTTCTTAAGGGAGACCCATTAGCCTTAATTCAGGAGCTTTGCAGACGGGCGACCCTGGTCCGCCCTGGGAAACAGAGGATCGGGGCTGAGGCTGCCCCATGCTTCAGACCCAATCCACCCTTTTGGCACCTGGAAAAGGAGCACCAAAATGTCGCTCCTTTCTTAAGCGGCAAAAAGAGTGCAGGAAGAGCTGATGTGCGGCTTTTCTGCGTCTCTTCCAGCACAGCATGTGAAGATACTGTGTTGGGAAGATGTATTCAAGGCATGTGCCATGCATAACGGTGCCCCCCTCCAATTATGTCCTCAAGGAGTGGTTGAGGCAGCCACCCTGAGGCTGCCCCTCCCCTTCTCTAGCTCCAAGACGGCACTTTGCGCCATCTGCAGAGGCCCTTAGTCATAATTAGATCGATTGCATAGATTTCATTGATGTGAACGGGATGAGTCTACTATAAATATGACTTAAGTCTGAATCCAAACTATGGACATGGTAACAGATTGAAGAATAAATGCTTTGATTCAAGCTTAGCTAGACAAGAGTTCTTTTCTAAACATCTCTTTACTCTGCTAATGAACGGTCATGCTTGCTTAGAAATTATTTTGGAAGACATGTTCCTTTGAAATTGTTGGTGAGATTAAGGTAAATCAGAGGTATCAAATAGGAAATTATTACTGTGACAAAGCTGGGCAAGGTAGCCAGTAGAATGAGGCTAGAAATGCTCATATTCAATATCCCAGCAGGTTGAGATCTGTCATTATTTGGGCAATGTTACTACAAACTAGTGGTTTCCACTAAATGCCTTAGCAATTTCATAATCTCTAGGTCTCATTCTTTTCTACAGATTACAAAATAATTCTAAAAATAAAATTTCCACCTAGCTATTTCACAAAGATGAAATAGCTGTGATTATATTTTGCTCTTAATGACCATATAAACAATCTATACTCTCTGCTCACCATAGAAAAATGTGTAACCTGTAGCCTGAACTAGGGATAGGGTTTCAAAGTCAAAAGCCAAAATTGTTTCCAAATGTGAGGCAAGGCCCTTACTGAGGCAATGTGAAGCACTGAAAAGGCTTTCACAGTTCACATCACACTTGAAGGAAGGGATCTGTTTTCACCTCAGCCTATGCTGTCTTTGGCTACATATATAAGAAAGTCAACTCACATCCAAACACTTTGGAAGGATCCTTCCACCACAAGCCTGTTGTCTAGCAACTTGAAATTGCCATGTCAAGTTCAAGTTGAATCACTGAAGCAACTTGAGTCTAGCTTGAGTCTAAGGGGTGAAACAGACCAGTCTGAAGGAGCAGTGTCATGTCACCCCTTTGATTGCCAGGTTGGGGCCCTGGCAACTGCATGACATGGCCCCAGCCTGGTTTTTTGCCACTGCAAAAAAAAAAAAAAAGCAACCAAATGCAGCCACTTTTTGCAGCAGCAAAAAGGCAACTTTTCCATCATGGCAACAGCTTTTCAGAGCTCGTGCAGTGTGCAGCATATAAATGTTGCACTGTCAGAGTGCCATGTTGCTCCCTGCCATTTGGTCAGGTGGGTGATGTGATGCCGGCTTGGGGGTGGCATCAGAGCATGCATAGTCCAAACCTCATGACCCCACACTGCCCCCAAGCCAAATGAACCTGCTAGTCTGTTTCACCCCTGAGTCAATCAACCTGAGTCTATGTCACTGGAAAGAGATAAGAAAACAATGACTGCTGCCATACCACATAATAATGAAGGTTGAACTACTATAATTGTCAAGGCTCCATCCTAAGGAATCCTGGGATTCATAGTTTGTTGTGGCACCAAAGATCTCTGACAGATTTTTCTGTCTCTCAGAATTACAAATCCCGGAATTCTATAACATTGGGCCATGGCAGTTAGAGTGGTGTCAAATTACATTATTTCTGCAGTATGAATGCAGCCCCAAGGTCCTATAGACTGAGAAAAAAAGATAACTGGCAATCAAGGAGTCAGGCCTGATCAGTTGATAATAGAGCCATATACAAGCAGCAATAGAATTATATCTTAGAGCAACAGGACATAGAAATACCTTGTTGGGTCAAAAGAGGCATAATTCATACTTCCAATGGAAAGACACAGTTCTTCCCCCTTCCCCTATTATAATCTTCTCATATGCACTACGGAAAAATGTAGAACCTAATCCTTCTCCTGAAAGAGCAAAAATATCATTGGCAACTTCCTTCTCTCTTAAGGTGATGTCTAATGTGAAAAGGGCATACGTTTTGCTCTGATATCCTGCCCTGACTGGAAACAAATTTAATGAGGTTCTGAGTATCAAGAAGAAAGGAAGTGATTTCTCTTCTTTATCCACCTGCACTATTTTTGCTGGTAGAGATCTTCTCCCCTTTTTGATGCCAGAAAGAAAGTAGTCCTGTTTCCTTCATTCCTGGGATCAATGTACTAAATGAAAGGATTGTTGTCAGTTCCCCCTTCTTTTTCTCTGTGAGACACAGGACAGGATGTTCCTTGTCTTTTTCCTGACTTTTCTAACAAGGCCTGTTGGCAGAGTACCATTTCTCCCATTTAGTGGACAGGAACAAGCCATCATTCAGTGTTACAAGATATGTTTTTTGCAGGGACAGCAGCTGCCACCCAGTGTAGAAAATACTAGTCTAGATGAACTAGTTGTCTAACTAATCATATAGCACCTTCTCATGAAAGCATTCAGGCAAGAAACAAAGGCAACAAAAACTGAGTAGAAAGACTCATCACCTAATTTTTTGTTCAGAATAGTTACTGCATATTTGGCTCCACAACTCAATTCCTATAGAAGTTAGAAACTTGATTTTTAAAGAATGAAAAATTGAAATCTTAGCCTGGTTAGGGTACAGAGAGGCAATGTGTAAACCAGACCATCCTGACAAAGGAAATTGTGACATGTTTGAGTTTTAAGAACACAAAAGTGTGTTCATAGTTTAGGAAATAAAGCAATTAAGGGAAGGTCAGCCTTTGAGCCACATGGGCAACTATATGCTTCTTGGTAAGTCTGTAAACTCTGAAAATGTCCAGCCCTCTCCACAAAACCCTGTCCCTTTGGGAAAGCAATGGGTGAGGTAAGCCAGTTCTGCATGGAACTTCAGAAGTTATAGGTGTTCTATACTACCATAGCAGTATTGTGCCACTTTAATTCTCATGGGTCTATCTTATGGTATGCTATGATAAAGTATTTATTTGTTAAAATATTTCTGTCTCACTCTCTGATGTTAGATGTATGGGCAGCATGCAATTAAAAGAATATAGAAACTGTGTAACAATTGCAGATTTTAAAAATAAAATAATTTAGATGGGATAATTAAAATGATCATTAAATTAAAACAGCAGAAAATACTAAAACAGTTAAAACCATGCACATGTACTAAAAGAAATTAGGCCCAGAGACTTTAATAAAAATCCATGTTTTAACTTGGTAAATGTAAAGAAATCAACACTGGTGCCAATTAGGTCTCCAAGTGGAGGGCATTACTTAACAGGGTGCCATGGCAGAGAAAGTCTCCATCTATGTCTCCATGTGATGTATCACTCCCACTAGTGGGACATAGTAGCGGGACCATGAAATGGTAGATTCTTTCCCACAGTTCCTTTAATATTTCTCAGTATTGTTGTCACCATCAATCCAGTGTAGAGGCAATAACTTCAAACACCACCAAGTTTTATGGTTTTCTGGATCTTAAGACAATTTGAGACAGCCTCAACTCTCTCTCTCTCTCTCTCTTTCTCTCTCTCTCTCTCTCTCTCACACACACACACACACCTTGCTTTCTTTAAAAATAATTTTGAGATATAGCCAAACAAATTTAAACAAAAACAAGAGACTTGTTTTCAAAGCCAAGTGTAAAGGGGGTATTTAAATGCTGCTAATGTACCCAAATTCTTCAGGTGTTTTCTTTTTTCTCAAAGAAACATGACACATGTTAACATTAAATGAAATGAAAAGAAAGTCAACTTAGGCTACCAAAAACCCCTAGAATAGAGAGAGTTTCTGTTAAAGACAAACTCAGTGCAAGGGCCAAGGAAGTGAGTAAAACTAGAGAGGGGAAGAAATTATTTCAATATTGCCATTTCTCAAAGCCTTTCCTTCATAGGATGTTATCACACATGGGCCAGAAAGCGATAATAAAGTGGAAACGAGGCATTCCGAAAATAAACTGAAAATAAACCTTAAATCCTCAAATGGCTTTCACACGTAATTACCTTAACTGCGAAATTAAAGTAAGCGCATTTAACGTTCACACACAAGTGAGAAAAGCCTGTAAATGTACTGGAAATTAGCTTCTTGCACATGCACAGATAGAGGAATGCTTGCTGGAACCATGGGAAAAGCAGGGAAATGCTCCCAAATGTGCATTTGCTTTTCACATTACGGTAAATGTGAAATTACCTTAATTTTGCATTTGCATTTCCTCCAAACAACAGAATTTCAAAAGATCTTGGATAACACCAGTTTCTGTCCACTTTCTGTCCAGTTTCTGTGCGACGTCATGTGAAAACGTGAGGCATAAATCCAGTTTTTGTTTGGGATTTGTGTGGATTAACCAGCAGATTTGCCCCGTGTGATAACGTCCATAGATTATTGCTTGCTAAAATATGCTTGATGTGCACAATGACACTGAGAACATTGTCAGACACCCAATGCATGCACTTTTGTGGTACAGCATTATGTTGTTGTTATTTGCCTTCAAGTTGTTTCCAATTCATGGTCACCTTAAGATGAACCTATCATGAGATTTTTTTGAGGGGGGCATATTTTTTCAGAGGGTGTTTGTCATCCTCTAAGGATAATAGTGTGTGACTTTCCCAGGGTCACCCAGTGGGTTTCCATGGCTGATCAGGGATTTGAACCCTGATCTCCAAAGTCATAGTCCAACACTCAAACCACTACCCCAAGCTAGCTCTCTCCAGCAACATAGGAGACTTTAAACACTAAAGCAGGATGATGCTGATTCACTTCTTCCTTCTTTCTTGGAAATATGTAGTGGAGATCTGTGATCTCATGGCAAGCACTAACACAGACCAGTGGCTCTTTCTTCCCTTTACCAGTTGACAGACAGAAGTTTAAAAAAGCGATAGAGCCTTTTTCTGTTCTTCATGAACACATGCTATTCTCCATATGCACCATGGTCTGTATAGGTATATAAATAATTCATTTAATTGATATCAATCACATCCCACCAGAGATTTACATCAGCATCTGCTTTTAGTAGTGCTTGAAATGGGAGAAGGAACATCCAAGTTTATTTTTTCTGACTTCAATAACTTTTGTGGGTCCAGAACACCACAGTCACACTATTGTTTAGGCTCAGTTACAGAAGATTGCTACAAAAACTGCAGTGGCTACAGGTTGGTTTCTGGGCACAATTCAAATGACCAGTTATGACAGTCAAAGCCCTTCCAATCAGGTACTAAATCCAATAACATCCAAACAATGATACCATTATTGGAACAACCAAAATGCACAATTATATGTTGCAAGTTTCCAAAGTCACAGTGGCTTCTTCATTAGGCAAACGGGAGAAAAATTGAAGAAGTTAGTCTTGGGCCTGATTTTCTGTTTCCGATCTCAGTTCAGATGTTAGAGGAGGGCTATCTGCAGGCTGGCTCCTCCCCCTTTGGCTTTGTGGTTGCTGGAAAATTTTGCAAGCCAAAGAAATTTAATGTCCATTTGCAATCCAAAGAAGATGTTTCCTTGGAATCCAGCTTGTCTCTTTCCTTTGTGAAGCCTTATACTCCTATGGAGGTAGAGAACCTGGTACTAGGTGTCTGAAAAGCCATACACTCCCTTGTGGGTCTATCCTTGAAGATGTTCACTGAAGGTCAATCTTTGGGGTTCTACCCTCTTTGGATAAGACAGCATCCTTCAATTCCCACACTTTGGAAATACCCACTGAGAAAAGCCTGGCTGGTCTCTTCTCTATGGTCCTTCCATAACACAAAGCATTTTTCATCAGATAGGTCTTTGGTATCCAGCTGTTGAAAAGTATGAAAATTGAAGGAAATTCTGAGCATGGACAATATGTTGTTTTTTTATTAGACATTACCATAGAAACACAAAGAAAAGACGCCAATTAATGGTAGCCATATGTCTGGTAATGTTTAATTTGTCTTAACCAACCTCATTAAATTATTTTGACATGAAGAAAAGAAGCTATGGTGTATTTTGAAGTTGGGATGAGATAGAAATGGAAGTAATAAAGACTCTCTTCATATGTATATTGGACTATTGTAACCATTGTGGGTGAGGGTATCAAATCTACCCATATGAAAGTAGAGGAGGAAGAAAAAGAAGTCATTTATAAATAACTCCTCCTCACCTGAGATTAAACCTATTGTTTTCCATACAGAATCATTAAACTGTTCAATCAGCAGCTGAAATGATCTCTAGTCCTTCAGGGCACACTTGCATGCATTTCTGACACAAGAGTGTCAACATCTCACTCCCCATGCCATGTAGGATGTGGCAGGTCATTAACTGGCAGCTACAAATCACAGACTCACTGTTTGATAGGACAGTCATTTCAGTAACATGTATATGAGATGCCCCAATCTTTTTCACTTCATCCTTGGGGGAAAAATCCTCTATGTAATAGAGGATATTGAGGAAATCATTTCTGATATTCCACTATGCAATAACCTTTCAGTTTAATTTTTGGGGCTTCACTTTTCTAGGCTATATTTAATGCTTCTCTGGTCAAAGATAATAGCATGTGGATGATTCAGAAGAGAGAATGCAACACAGTAAAAATGCAAAGAAAATAAAGCATACCCTAATTTCTTAAAAAAAAAAAAAAAACACCAAATGGAGTTGTTTCAGTGCAGAAAGATTTGGCATTTTTCTGTATGCCTTCTTTCTTATTCACCAATCTTTGAAACCCCCTTTTCCTATATCTTTTATCTGATAAATTGTCTGTCATGTCCAGATAAGGAGACAAAAACAATTTAGTCCTACCTTGATAGGACTATGGACGTTTTCATACACACGGCTCTAAAGC